TCACTGCTGGAAGATGGCAGGAGGGAGGGGCTACTATATTTGGGCAAAAATGGCCGCTCCCAGACTCAGTGATTGTGACGAAAAATTATCGTTTTTATTTTCCTACTAACGCTAAAGTCCTTAAATCAGCGCACACGTATTAGTTTTAGGTATAAACAATGATCCATTGATTATTCCTTGCTGACCGGACTGTTCCTATAAAGCTCTAGATCACTCATTCCATTCTGCAGTGACTGGTCGTGTTCCCAGCAACGTTTGTCTTTACGGATTTTTCCTTCATACTCCTAAACAGAATGACATAAGTCCGTCTGAACTCACCATGCAGATCTGGGAAACTCGGGAGACAAGAAATTTGTCCACAAAGTTATACTCTCTGCCCACTTCGCTGAAGAAAAAGTAGATTTTCTGCTCTTGTGGGATAAACTTGGAGCTGATAAAAGTTGGATCTACAGGAGAGAAGACACAGCATCACTGTATACAAATGCAAACAACTGTTTTACCTAAATGATACATGACATGATTTTAAAATACTGCTGAAAAATGTTTTCACTTCATATTCATATAGCCACAGTGGAGAGGAAAAACTCCACTCTAAAAACTACTCTAAAACTACATTCAACTTAAAGACTGAGTCGGACCCAGAATCAAAATAAGTCTCTTCCACAACCAGCATAATGCAGCAAACTGTGTACAAAACATTGGAAAGGCAAAGCAGCAGAACGCCTCACTGCAGGGTTACTGCTTGAGATGGGGCTGGTTTTGCAGTTGCACCAAAAAAGCACCGTCTGAGTTAGAGCCCAGCAGCCTGAAGGAAAACGGACAACACCGGTGAAAGAAGTGAAGTTTCAGAACGGGCAGAAACTGAACCAGAGGCATTTGCCGTTTCTCAATTCACAAGAACATGAGTACAGACTCGTAAGAAAAGTACATTCTTGAGAAGAACACAGGAAAGTCTGGACTCTGGGAGACCAGTAGCATAAATATGGGTCAATTGGAACAGAAGCGTACTGATGACATCACCACGCGCTCAGCTC